AGTTAGCTTGTAAAAGTAGACTTCTCTACAGTATACGGATGAAGTCTGCACGAGAAGTCTGTACGAGAAGTCTGCACTAGAAGTCTGCGTGTTTGTTACTTATGTGTTTATCATAATGTGGTTCGTAATTACATTTGCTAATATGATTTTTTGTGTTTTTAATGTTTTCTTATAGAGAATATTTCAATTGAGAATGAAAAAAAAACTTGTCTTTTGTGCAGTGCTTTTGTATTCTTCTTCAGTCTTGTTTTTATCCTATTCTCATCTTGTTTTTATCCTATTCTCAAACTCACTCTTGTGTTTATCTTTCTTCACTCTTGTGAATTGTGTCTGGCCTTTTAACTTGTATTTGAATTGTGACTGATTTTTAAAAATGTTTTCTGCTTAAAGACTATAACAAGAAAAATGAAACATCCTGTATAAAATAGTATCACCATTACACTTAAAACTATATACAGATCGAGTTTATGACCATTACAATTGATAACCACAAAACTAATATGACCATTACACTTTATGACCATTACAAATGTTCAAAACTATTATTTTCTTTATACAGTGATCACGACTAACATCAGGTCATGACTGATCATGACTAACATCAGGTCATGACTGATCATGACTAACATCAGGTCATGACTTACATCAGTGAAGAATAACTAAACTTCATTCTTCTGTTAAGATTCAATGTCTTCAATTTCTCATTCCCTTGGGTATCAGTGCCGAGTCTGGAACCTCTTCGAGGAAGCTCGTCGATGCAGTCTCATTGTAGCATTCCTCCCAAATCAACAAGCTGCACACAGAAAAAAGAAAAAGAAAAGAAGAAACTAGTGTAAACTATAGATCGTTGGAACTTACTACAAGACAACATAATTTAGTTACTATTACACAAATATTTTCGTCTAAACAAAGACATATCTTGCCATCAAAGAGAACTAGACACATGAGATAGCCCATTTTCTTACCAGATTTTTGGCATAATCCAAAAGCATAAGGAGCCATCTCCTCACCAAACTTATCTACGATAGTCCCTACAGAGGTAAAGATAGGTACTTTAGGCGGTAAAAAGAATCAGTCTCCAGATTCACAATAAAACATTTGGGAACCAAACCAATTCCTCAAAACTTCAAAATCCAAATTTCTCAAAACTTAAAAATCCAAAATTTCACAAAATCAGAGATTAACACATCATTTCACAATCAACAAGTGCTTCACCAAGCTCTCAGATTCACGATAAAACATTTGAGAACCAAACCAATTTCTCAAAACTTCAAGATACAAAATTTATCAAAAACTTTAAAATCCAAAACTTCAAAAAAAAAACAGCAAAATCGACACATTATTTCACAATCAACAAATAGTTCACAAATTCTCTGTCAAACACTCGAAATTTGAAAACTTTACCTGAGTAAGAGATGGTCGATCGAACCCAGAATCTCGAAGAGCAACAAAGACTTTATCCGATAACCCAAGAGACTTCCAAGAAACTTTGAAGAGACTTGTAGAGGAGAGGAGATAAAAGAAGACGCTGAAGAGAAGTGAGAAGAGGAAGAGTAATCGTTCTTAAAGTTCTTAGGTAATGGATTTACCTGTGTTTGTTCTTCGGGGAGAATCTGGGTCATGAACAAACCCAACGATTGTGGCCGCAAGCAGATCTACAAAAAAAAAACAGATCTTGAGAGAGTTTTCATCGGCGGTGAAAAGAAGACATGTGAGGAGTTACCGTTTTGCGCCGGCGAGCTAACATTCCGGCATACCAGAGGAATTCGGCGACATCAAAGAAATCGCCTGTTACAGCTTGAGTGAAACCGCTAGGGTTTCTTATCAACAATGTTTTCTCTTTAGTAAAATACATTTTATATGATAGAGAATTTTTTTTTTTTTAGTGTGGTTCAATTTCGGTTAAATCTCAATTTCGGATTAAATCTTGGTTTTATTCGGTTTAGCAGACTTTAATATAGAAGTCTACAACTTTTAAAACCTAAATAATTAATTTTCTTCTACTTAATTTAAAAACATAAATTTCTATTTAGAAATATGAAAAAATAATTTATGTATATTTGGGTTACAATTACGGAATTTATAAATGTAAATTTGATACCAAAATAATTTTATCTAAATTTTAAAATCAAATTTCCAGATTTAATTATTTAGTAGACTTCATTTCGAAAAAAGAAGTCTACTATTAGACTTCTTTCTTCCTTTAGTAGACTTTGTTAGGGTGTAAACGGTAATTAGGACATCTATTTTTTGTTTACTCATAAATGATTAAATAGTCTTTTTACTACCCGTTTAGGTTATTTCTACTAAATGTTTTTTCAGGGATCTACTTTTGTATTCAAAGTCAAAGTTTTAGGTTATTTTTAGCAAAAATCTCATATAAATATCATAGAAAATCACAGTTCAAAAGAATTGAAAAATTGGGTTTGTCTTTGTAGTTCCGGTTTGGATTAGAATGTGGTCGGGAAAACATTGTACCATGACACTACTACAATAAATTGAGGTGTGTTTGACTATAGATCTCATCTGGGCAACCTCTCTTTTCGTCTACATAAACTCCTTCTGCATCTCTACAAAAAAAATTTCTAATTTATATAGAAAAATATAAACAATACTATGTTTGGGGACGTGAATCAATATTTTATAACTGATATACATGCATATGAAACTTTTATAGTTTTATATTTTCAGCTCTATTAAACAAACAAACATTTTTATTTTCGATATTTCTTTTGGGCAATGTTCTTTTTTAATGTACGAGCAATCTAATTTATTTGGATTACTTTCAAGTTTGGACATCCATCTAATCCTTATCTAATGTGGAACGAACGAACCTAAGATTCCTCTGCCGGGTCATATAAGCAAAAGTTAAACTTTATTTTGTGACAAGCCGTAACTAGTATGAAACGAAAAAAAAAAACAAGAATTCCTATGCAGAAAATGGTTTATTATCGGTGCTGTGTGATAAGAACATACCCACACGACAGGCTACGGAAACAGTGTCGGTCTATATTCTTTTTCATTTGCTTTTTCTGTTAAATTAGATAGAAAAAGGTGAGAATCAAAAAGGAAACGAAGATTGGACTCGTTTGGTAGATTTGACTTTTCTTTGCTTTTCTCCCCCAAGAATTAGCCAATTTTATGGTCTTCCTTTTTATACCCCACCAAGAAAGTTATATGAGTTATTTTCATAATACTGCATCATTGCCTTAATTTATAAAACGGAAAACAAAAATGTCCTATATGTTTTTCTAAAAGATAGTATCCAATGTTAAGATAATGATAACTGATATTGATTGAGCATTTGAATACATGTAGCAAAAAAAAGATTTTAAATGAATGATTTTGTAATTTAATTTTGATAATATTAATTTCTTTTAAAGAAAAAACAAATAACCGTCTCAATTCATAAAAAAAAATTTGAGGCCAACTCGTCACCGTGCAAATCGTGCCGTCTAATCACACATTCACACCGCTCCACACGGTATCATGTCACCGTTCTTTTTTTATAAAAAAAAAACAGCTGATTTATATAATATTTAACATACATCAAATTTATCATGTCATCGTTCATACTTCATAGCCATTGTCATTTACTTTTCTAAACCAACAATTTTTTATTGTTAAAATTAAACCAACAATATGAAATAAAAGTGTATAACTTGTATGTATTATTATGTAATTTGTATATATATTTATGGACGTGGTGGAATGCATGTGCGCAAAGTTTACTTTTTGTTTTTTTTCTTCTGTTATTGAATTTGTAATTAGATGCTGACTAGAAATGGACGTGTTATAAAAGTCATCCTAACCCTTTTATCTTTTAACGTTTCCAATCATTAATCTATGCCTACAAGCCATTTTTTTGTGCACAATGCCTACAGGCTACAAATATCAGAGTTTCGAAAAAATCTTTCATCAAGCTTATGTCGCATTAATGCTAAATATCATCCTCTATTTAATATTTCTTCTGTTCATAGAGATCGTCGTTTTAGAGTTAACATTTTGTTTCAAAAAATATATCGTTTCACATTTTATTAGAACATTTAAAACTAATTCACAAATTTACTTTTTACCCTAAACTAATAACTTTTTATTTAAATATTTCTGAATAAATCGGATATATTAATCTAATTTTAAAGTTTTTTCATACAGGTGAAATAGTCAAAATAACAATTTTTATGAAATTGAAGAATTAAGTTTTTCGAGTTTTTAGTTATTGCTTCTCTTTTATATATATTGTAAACCATTCTAAATTAATATTTAATCAGATGAAAGAAAACCCATCAATCTCATAATTAACGCCGCTTAGATTGGATACGGAGAAAGCATATAGACTCCATCCACTACAAAAAAAAAAAAAAATTCTGTGTACGTGGGATTCACTTGAAAATTGAAAGGTACAATAATAGTGACCTCACTACAACAAATAAATTGCTACCGACAATCATGGTTAGATCATAAATCACAATCATAAATGGGTTTTACGATTGAATAATACATTTAGTAAAGCAGATCATATCATCATGATTCCCATCGCATTTATCTACTTAGAGAACTTTTTCTATCGGAAGATCAAATCAGATTAACTCCAACACCAAAAGTTAGATCAAATTACATAATGATGATTAATGCAAACAAATTATAAATCATAACTAATGCGAATATGTGTCAGGTTTTTTCCTTATATAAAAAGGTTCCCACTAGTACATAAACAAACAAATGAACAAACAAATTTTCAATTTTTCCACCAATCATGGTTAATACTTTATATTCAATATAACATATTACAGTAAACGAGTCACTCTGATCAAGAAAAAAATTAAAATAATCATATAAAGAGCTTAGAAATCTCACAGAACTTTCATTTTACTCCAATCTTTGTTTCTTCTTCTTCTTCTTCTTCTTCTTCTTCTTCTTCTTCTCTCTCTCTCTCTCTCTCTCTCTCTCTCTCTCTCTCTCTCTCTCTCTCTCTTAGAAGAAACTAGATTCAATATTACGTCAAAGTTTCGATTTTGATCTTCTCTCTCATCCTCTGTTTCACTATCAATCATTTTTTTCCCCAAATATTTTCGAATTAACAACTCAAGATCTTCAAAGTTTACTCTTTTCTTCTCTATTAGAGGATGAGCTTATTCGTATAGTTAATGGATCTATCAAACCGTCACAACCCTCTCAGGGATCTGGCCTTTCCTCTGCCGCTGCCGCCACCACCAATGCCTATTATCCACCGTGCTAGCTCAGCGGGAACGAATTTTCCGATCATAATCGTTGCCGTGATCGGAATCTTAGCTACAGCTTTCTTACTTGTTAGCTATTATGTTTTCGTTATCAAATGCTGTCTCAACTGGCATAGAATCGACATTCTTGGAAGATTCTCTTTATCTCGACGGCGACGCAACGAGCAAGATCCTTTAATGGTGTACTCTCCAGAGCTCAGGAACCGAGGTCTCGATGAATCCGTCATTAGAGCAATCCCAATCTTCAAATTCAAGGAGAGACAAGATGGACTAGAGAAGACCTCTCAAGAATGCTCTGTTTGTTTGAATGAGTTTCAAGAAGAGGAGAAGCTGAGGATTATCCCAAATTGTTATCATTTGTTTCACATCGATTGCATAGATATTTGGCTTCAGAACAATGCCAATTGCCCTTTGTGTAGAACTAGGGTTTCTTGTGACGTAAGTTTCCCTCCGGATCGAGTTTCTGCTCTAAGCTCTTCCCCGGAGAATCAAGTTCTAGACTCGGATACCACCGTAGTTAGAGGCGAGAATGAGTATGTGGTAATTGAACTAGGTCTAGGGAATGATAATAGCACCAGTAGTGATCAAGATAGTCCGAGAGACAGAAGGTTACTTGTGGTTCAAGAAAGGTCAAATTCGGGTCATGTATTAACTGAAAACCCTCAAAATTCGATCAGTCCATCTTCGAGGAAGCTTGACCGAGGTGGGTTTCAGAGAAAAGGAAGAAAGCTTCACAAGGTCACGAGTATGGGTGACGAATATATTGACATTAGAAGAGACAAAGACGAGCAGTTTGGTAGTGTTCAACCCATCAGGAGATCAATCTCGATGGATTCGTCTGCAGATCGACAACTTTACATGGCAGTTCAAGAGGCGATTTTCCGGAAAAACCATGAAATTCTGGTGGTCGGAGACGAAGGACGATGTTGCAGTAGTAGTGGCAGTGTTAGTAATCACAGAGTGAAGAGATCTTTCTTCTCTTTTGGGAGTAGTAGACGTTCTAGAAATTCTTCCATATTGCCACTTTATTTTGAACCCTAATGGACGGCTTTGTTTTTTTGTTTTATTTTTCTTGTTTCTTTCTACATTTGTTTTTTTTTATTATTTTTTCAATGTTTTTGAGATGGATCTTTTTAATTATTTGGTCGGTGAGGTAGGAGAGAAAAATAGGTGTGGGTAGAGATTTTGAGAAGTCAAAGAGTTGATGAGTTGTATTGTGACATTGAGTATATATTTTGGACTTTTTAAGTTTGAAAAAACTCAAAAAATCTCACTTAGTCAATGACAGAATATGAACATACTTATTAGTGTTACATTAATTTCATAACAAGATGTTACATCATATTGCAAAACTTTTCAACAATCGTATTTTTGTAGCTGTATTGTATACCAAATCTGTACATATGTATGTGATCCAAAGTTATCAAGGAAAAAAAAACATAAATATCTGCCTGGAAAAAAACTCGGACCCGAATATCTGAACTGGAGCCGAACCAAAATAGAGATACCGAATCCGAACTGAAACCTATAAATACCTGATGGTTCCTCCTCATTAATACTCATGGGTATCGGATAATATCCAAACCGAACCGATATCCGATCGGATATCCAAAATTATCCGAAATATAATTATAAATCTAAAAAATATTAAATATATTACGTGATTTTAAGTATATTTTTGGTATTTCATATATATATATATATAATTTTTGGGTTTTCGGTTACATTTTCGGGTTTTCGATTATATTTTCAAGTTTTTGAGTATATTTTTTTAGATTTTGGGGTATATTTTTCAGATTTTTTGATATAATTTCAGGTTTTTGGATATATTTTTGGGTTTTTGGATCTATTTCGGGTTTTCAAGTCTTAAGAATATCTGAACCATTTAAAATCATAATGTTTTTGGATATTTATGGGTTCTTAAATCTTGAAACCGAACCAATCAGGAACAGATTGGTACTAAACTGAAACCAAACCAAAAATCTATCAGTTTCTATTTGGGTACAAAATCTCGATACCCAAAAGATTCCGACCAGATCGAGAACCGAACCTAATACCAAATGTCCAGCCAAATAAAAGGGAGGGACAAAGAGTGGTCAGAGGAAGTGGAGAGACTTGGAAGTGGAGAGACTTAAGGGACCATAAGAATCCAAAAAGTAGTTAAACAGAAAGAAAAAGTTATGGTATGGGCGGACTTAAAAAGAGACCATATCATTGAATTTTTGTTTTTGTTTTGCATCAGATTACCATCTATTTATTATTATATACTTATTTGTGTAGTGATTTGCTGATGTGTTGCGCTCACAGTAAGTTTTACAACGTTTCGCTTATGTGTAGTTCCCGAATGAGTTTCGGCTACAAAAAGACCATTTAACTCCATTTTGTAATTATGTGTCATTTTTTATTGGTTCTTATCTATCTGATGATGTGTAAAAAAAAACTTAAAACAAATCAATCTAAATTATTATGATTTAATGCTTAATTCCAAAGTCAATCAAACCGTTTTCAAATTATATAAAACCAAAATTTAGAAAACAAATTAACAAAAACTTAAAAAAACAAAAAATGGAATCTATATATCTTATAGAATGGTGTATAAAGCCTATCAACCATTTTTAAAAAATTAGATCTAGATTAGTGTTCTCGATAATTATAATATATAGGTTAGTGTTTATTATTTCTTATGTTTTCGAAATTTAGAAAAAAATCTAACAAATAATGTTAAAAGAAACCAAAAATGGAATCTTTTTAAAAAGTAATGGACTATCGTTTTAAAACTAAAAAAAAAAATCAAAATTAAAAAAAATATATCTAATTAAAAAAGTAAAAAAAAGAATATATATATATATATATATATATATATATATCTAACTAATGGAATTTTGTTTAAAAAAAAAAACAAAAAAACATCTCTAACTAATAGAATATCGCTAATTATTATAATAGATAGGTTAGTGCTTACAATTTCTTATGTTTATAGGGTTTTAGATTTCTTATGATTTAGTATAAATATCAGCCACTTTTCTCTAATTCTCTCACAACTTTCAAATTTGTCTAACTTATTCCTTCTTTTTCGTTCTAGTTAAAAACTCATAGAGTCATCAGGTAAATATATACTAATATTTTTCTAAACAAGTATTAAATAAAAAAATAACTTAAATCACATCGGTCTAAATTATTATGGCTTAATACTTCACTTTATGGTCAATATCGTTTTTCAAATTCAATAAAACCGATATTTAGTTAAATTTAACGAAAAAAAATCAATCAATAGAATGTCTAATTAAATGATAATATTTGTGATGTCTAAAATACATAAAACAGTAATCAAAATCGAATAAGTTCTTACGGTACTAAAAAACTACGTCTAAAATACGTAGAACAATGATCAAAAGATCTCAAACTATTTAAACTAAATTATTTAGATACTTATATATTTTATTTACTCACTTTTATATTGTTTTCATGATCATGTTTTCAAACATTAAAATGCAAGGAAATTTAACAAATAAATATATTCAACAATAGAATAAAAAAACAAATGAATCCCTAGTACTATTAGATTTCCAAACAACCAAATGGAAAATTATATCAGTCCGCACAAGGTGCGAGAAAGTTAACTAGTAATTAACTAATTCTGAGTCTAAGCATGAGTTTGCGCACACGCAGTTTTTAGTTTTGTTTTTTAATAAAAAGAAAACAACTGGCTTTTTGTTACTACTGAGTTCAATATGACCCCTTTAAATAAGCATCGAGTATTGAACTTCAAAATGGTTTTTATTTTTTATATTTTAGAATCATGTTGTAACGAAAAACGGCCAATGTTTTTCTTTTGCTTCGCAGCTTATCCAAAACTCAAATCTGGTTCTGTCCAAACCCAATATACCACAACTATCCATCCCCTACAATTATCGGCGTTACCATAAAAAAAAAAGGAAGCAAGTTCATATATTTCACGATATGTAGACTGTAGATACATAATTTTCTAAGGGAAATTTAAAGATAGAACTAAAGAGTTTGTTCAATGTCATTTAAACTAAGAAATGCCGTCGAATCAAATGCATATTGCTCTTCTTGAGTACCTTCTGATCCTATTTTGTATTTGATCACGGTCATTGCGACAAAGATAGACTCACAATCATGGAAAAATTTAATGTTTTGTGATAAAATGATGAAAAAAGGAACCTTTTTGAAGATAGCCAATTATGTTTTGGTTTGTCTTTAGATCTTTTGAAAATTATTTCATTGTCTTAATATGTTCCTGAAAGTTATTGACCTTAGTTTTGTTTTTGTTTTCACTCCTCCTATAAATTGTGTCAATATTTTCATATCAAGTTGGGCAAAACGTACATACGACAAAAAATCATTTTGGTCTGCTCATTCAAAATGAGCAATATATTCTTGTCGTTGACAATATAAATCCATTCAATCAATATGTTCTTGTCGTTAGACAATATAAATCCATTTAGTCATTTTTATTGGAACGTAATGATCATTGCAAATATATTTGCATTTTACAAGAGCCAAGCGTCATGATTTATGTAAAACCATTTTGTACATCACTTGTGCAAACATTTATTATAGTAGTATGTATTTCAAACCGTTTCCATTCCTAAAGTCTCCTAAAGTACATTGAACTTTTAGTATCTATTAGGTAATATGTCAATAATTCAAGTTCCATACAACTTTTTAGTGATTTTTCTATTAAAATTATATGTTAATGAGTTCAGTCAAAAGCATAGTTAAAAAAGACAAGCGTGGACATAAATGTAGTATTCAATTAGAAATCACTAGAATGCTTTAGTGGGAAACTTCTTTCTTCTTTACTATCAGGATTGAATCGGACCCGTAGGCTGAAACCGGAGAAAAAGAAACTAATCAGGCTGATCAAGGAAACACTTAAAACAGAAAACAAGACTAGTGTTTTTTTTCCATTCAACAATGGATTCAAGTCTGTTTTTATAGTGCATTGTTTTGATTCTCTATTAAGATTTGATAACATTGATTGTATTATATTCTAATGGTATATTGTAATGTATAAGTTTATCAATATCCAAACTGATTTGGCATATGCTTTTTATTTTATTTTTTATCAAACGAGAATGCAAGTAGAATACGATGATACTTTGAAACAAAGAGCTTCATAGATATATATATTTTTTATGACAGTTTTCAATTTTCCGGCCGCTGAATAGATAAACTCCAATAACATAAAATACACTAATTAGAGAAAAAAAAAACTCATTTTAATGCGAAGTTAATTTACACAGGCCAAACAACACATCTCAAGGATAAATAATAATGACAGGAAGAAAAGATAAAAAAAAAAAAATAAACCAAAACAATGCCAATAATACACAATGAAAATATATTGAAACAAACTTCAAGTAATCACAACTTGTTCAAGTGTTCTTGTGTTGACCATTCTCTGACATCATTCCCGTGCCTTGCAAGTTCTCTTACATTGCGGACATCAACACTAGAAGCACTTTTCTGTGTTGCATGTACCTGAATAGCTTTTGAATCTTTTGTTGTGTTGACCATTTCTCTGCCCTGGATGCCTCTTGCACTGGATGTACCGAATGTGGAACCATTTCTCTGCCCTGGATGTACCAGATGTAGTGCTGACATAAGCTCTTGACTCCTTTGTTTGAAGGTGTTGGAGTCGGTTTTCATCCCAAGCAGATAAAACCATCTCAAAATGACTAAGTATGGAAGAAAGACAAAGTAGCCGAGCCGTGCTCACCAAGACAAAGTAGCCGAGCCGTGCTCACCAAGACAAGTGGGAGAGCCGTGGTCACCAAGTGGGAGAGCCGTGCTCACCAAGACAAGTGGGAGAGCCGTGCTCACCAAGACAAGTGGGAGAGCCGCGGTCACCAAGTGGGAGAGCCGTGAAGAAAGATAGATGGGCCGAGCCGTATCGTAAAAAATGGGCCGAGCCCCACTCCAACATGCTTGGGCCGAGCCGCGCCTCGGTGAGGTGGACCAGATCATGTCTCGACTAAAATGGCAAGTGGGCCGAGCCGTGGAGAAGTTAAATGGGCCGAGCCGTGGAAAAGTTCAGATGGGCTGAACCAAGGCCTTGAGAGACGAAGCCCATAAAAACCCTAGGCGAAATACAAAGGCGGTGAGACGCACGAGACGCTAAGGAAATATTCCGAAAATCTCTCCCGAGATTCTCGGCTAGGCGGTTCGGAGAATTAGTATAAATAGATAATGTATACAATTCATTCTGTAACTTTGGCAACCCTAAGCGATA